CCCCCCCCCCCCAAAACAAAAAAAACAAAAAAAACCAAGGAGGGGACTATACAATTTTATAAACACAAGTATTCACAACAATAAAAATTTTGGAATGGATATTAAACCACACACTCTAGATCTTAAACCGACTCCTACTAGACCAAACTAAAATCTAATTGTAGGGGCACCCTTGCCCTACAACTGCTACTGCTTGGCTTTTAATTCTCATCTGGTACTAACTACTGATAGAGAAAGGAGTATGGTCTTGACACATCTTATGTTTAATTCAGTTGGGCAATTCCTACATGTTCAGCTCTTCAAGGCAGGGAGCCCGGGTTACACAAAGACGACTGAATCTTGACAGGGGTGTCTAACTGCATCCGGATACAAATAAGAAAGGATACCAGAGTTTCTCTCGTTGCTTCCCTCTGGAAGAGCCTTTAAAACAATATCTAAAGTCTCAGCGAAAAAGAAAGCAGAAACAGAGAGCATTTTCATTCTGACACTTGGGATGCTAATGTGATGATGGAAGAGGTCCATTAAAATATTAAGCAACTAACTTTCAAGGGTCAAAGAAATAACAGTGCAAAAATAAACACTGTCCTGGAAACCTTCAGTGCTGGAGACTTTGCTGACTCCTCTGTCTCTGCCTCATTAGATTTAATATCAATTTGAGTCCATGTACTGCCTTTTAACTAGGATTTTCCCCACAGTGTTGCGTGCCTGTTGCTGATCCTATATGCAGAACCTTGCAGCAAAACTCTGACTCTTAAGACTTTTCCTCTGTTTACAGTAAAAAGGACATTTCCATTGAATATGTAACCCAGCACTGAAGAAAAGAGTAGTAAAGATCATACTCATGTGCTATCGAACTATATTGTCTCTGGTCCCTGCTGTATCACGATAAGATCCCTGCTCCACTCCTGAACGGAAACAAAGTTCTCCCCTAGTCATTGTACATGCTGTAGACTTAGAGGCATCTTGGTTGCAGACAGAACGCTCAGAGACCTTGCATACAAATCTGCCATTTCATATGGTGAGTAGAAGAGAAGAAAAAGGCAGGCATTTAGACATCCAGAAATAATCCCATTACTTCCCTTTTATGCCCCGGAAGCATGAAAAGAGAGTAACAATTTCATTAAAAATCTAAGACATGTCAGACACTCCTGCTAAAATTACACTAGCATCGCAAATCCCCTTGGCATGCTGGCTGTTACTCCCTCTTTGTTACAGAGTAGGCAATTGTTCAGTTTCCTTATGATTTTGGCAGTGGAAGATGTCTAGTGAACATTAATTTATTGGAGAACTCCTTTTGGACCACATACATTTAGATTTGTCCTAAAGCTGGATGAATACTCAGAAAACAGTGTTCTATTTTTACGTGGGTATGATCCAAGCAGAAGGAAAAGCCTGTATACCATTGTGAGAGCAATGTGTCAGCTGAGGAACAGATCGAGTCTCACTGGGTATCATTTGGATTGCTCTCTATCCACACAACCATCTGCACAGCTAACCTGATTGGATAAAGCCAGACATTATTTACATATGTAAACCCAGAGCCAAATTCAGGCCCATATAAAAGCCTGACAGCAGCTCCACTGAAGTCAAAGACATGCATCTATTAATACCAGGGACGGATTAGGATCTGATAAGCTATTTCCCAGTCATTTCTGATGAAGGAGATTCTGAAAAGTAAACCTATAAAAGGACATTCAAAATACAGTTGTGCACATGGTAGTCTTTGCTGTTAAAAACAGCTGCATGTCTTTCTCTGCAGAGTGCTAAGCACCCCTTTCCAAGAGCTTAGAATCCTCACTCCTCAAAAGACCCTCAGCATCTTGTGCAATAGAGTTCACAGCCCTCATCCAAATTAGTAAGTTTTTCCATTAATTTCAATGTGGTTTGGATCAGGTGTCATCCACAACCCTCTGCTCATTAAGGACATATTCAACCTCAAATACAGAGATGCTACATCTGTCAAGTAGGAGCACAGACGGATCCAGTAATACACATGCACTGGTGCAACAGTGTCTCTATTGAGGGTTTGTATCATCTGCAGGAGAATAGGAGAGCTACAACAATGGTTAGGAGAATTCAGAGTTCTGACAGAGCACATCCATACGAGGGGAAAAAAACCCAACTCCACTTGGACTTCAGAGAAAACTTAGCATACTGAAGCAATCTATAGTAGAAATCATGTTCAACATCTTTTTTTTACCATCATTGGTATGAAACCTGGGGATAAAAGCAAATATCCCAAGAAACAGACTAGCCAAACCAGCAACAAGCTATGCAAACAAATCTTTTTTTTATTGAACCAAGAAAAATGGAAAACCAAATTATTTTTCCCTTGACTATCCAATGCAATCTTGTTTTGTACCCAGTATCTTGCTGTTTAATGATATGTAATCAAAAACATCTTTTGTATTAATCAACTTCAGGAACTAATGTAAAGTATGCACGGGGACCACTTAGAAAGTTTCTTTTGCATACTTCTCTGGCATCTCCAAAATACACTCTCATCACTGAAGTTTATGGCCAAATAATCTCAATATCATGATTCTGGAATATATTTTTTCCAATACTTCTTAATTAATGCTTTTTTTAAAAAGAGTCACTTTTAAATAACTTCCAAATATTAAAGACCGTTAGTATTGCTGATGCTTTTGGGCATCTTCAACTTAGGTTTTTTGTTTTGTTTTTTGGGGGGGTTTTTTGTGGGGGGGGGTTGCACCTATCCTGGGGTTTTATGTTGTTCTAGTTCTGAAGAGCTTTGTAGCTTTAGAAATATGCCTTTGATTAACAGGAAACAAAGAAAATGTGATTCAGAGCTGAGAAAACAAATTCGCTTTAAAAAAAAAAGTACCTTAAGGAAGGCAAGTTATTTTCCATCACAATGACCCAAAATCAGAGTCTTCAAACAGAGCATCCAGCCCTTAATGAGTTGTTTTTATCAGCCGGTCTGCTACCCTGGAACATTTGGATCTAATGGGGAAATGGTACAGAAGAAATCCTCCAGGCAGATTAGCTTTTCCCCTGAAAGCATTCAGCTAAAAAATAATGCCTGTGATAACATTCTCCAGCCATCTCCTTTTAAAAGGTGCTTCACAATGCTTCATATCAAAGAAAAATCAGAAATAACCAGTTTTCGCCCTCCTTCCCTTTAGTTTTAGGACAGCATAGGGATCAATTATCCAATTAAGGGTCTATGATAGTTACAAGGAGAATATCAATAATAATAATAATAACAATAATAAGACAAAGAAACTTCAATTCACAGCACATCTTTAGTAGACCATGACTGTATGACATACTGTAGCTGCTGCAGAAGTTACCAAAACAAAAATAAAACCATAGGAGTAGGAACTTTTGCAGGTCCCTAGGGGACATGATGACTTTTACCAACCCAAAATCTGAAGAGAGCTTCTTTCAAGTGTCTATTTCTGTCATTCCCATGCCTTGGGAAAGGTTTCTTTTGAAAGAATAAAATAAAGGTGAACTTACTTGTCTAAAATGAAGTACAAATCAAATCCTCCATAACATGCAGGGCCACCATTCTCTCTATTTCCACCTTGTCCATCACAGGCTAACATAAAGGTTGCAAAGAAGAAACATTTGAAGCCAAATCTCCAGGCTTTTTGCTTTGCAATAGCCATTATATCCAGAAAATGGGAGAAGAAAAAAGTTGTCTTCTTCCAAAACTCCCTTATTTCACAGCTTTCTCCAAAAGAGCCATTCAACGACCTTCGAAGATATAAATAGATTTCACTCCTCAAAACTCCACTTGCTGCAGTTGTCCTCAGAATTTGCAAGAATTTTTTCCCCTTGTATTCCCTGCACTTCTGTTTCTTGGTTTCAGGTTTCAAGATGCACAATACTGTATTTCGCCTTTTTTTTTTTAAAGGGACTTTTCACTCATCCTCTCATGGAGTTCTCGGCAAGCAACATTATCATTTTGCAACAAGATAGACTGCTTCCTGACCATTCTCACTTTGTCCCAGGCTCAGGAAAAACAGGGGAAGGGCTTGAGTGTCCCCCCCTTTCCTAAATTATTATTGTTGTTATTATGGGTAGTGGGTTTTGTGTTTTCCTGTACAAGACAGTTCAGAGAATGCCATCTTGTGGTGAAGGCCTGCTGAAGCAGACTGGAAGCTCCAGGATACTGGTTTTCATATGAGTTATACAAAGAGGTCTAAAGCTTGACTGGGGTGTCTAAATGTACTTGGATGCAAATAAGAAGGAATACCAGAATTTTTCTCATTGTTTAACTTTGGAAACGCCTTAACTTACATTCCCAGCTCACACAACAGAACCTGAAAGTCAGTCTTTGGTGATGTGCATGCAACTGAGAGCCTTGTTATGCACAACTATTCATTGGCAGAGTCACTCTCAGGAAGGTTTTACCTTCTCTGCCAGTAAGCATTTCAAGTCTGTTGTCCAACGCATCTCTGCAGACTGCAGTTACACAATTTCTCCACATTTCAGCAGTGGTAAAATAATTTCCATTATGCACAAAGCTGTTATTTACTCTATACTGATTTCTGACCAAGCCAGCCAAACTCCTTGCTGGATTTGGGCTCCCTTCACATACCTGAAGTTGCATCCTCTGCTCCACTCAGCCAAGAAGGCTAAACCCCAACCCTACTGCCCCCTCTGTGATAAAACAGCCTTTGAGAAAGCAGGGGGAAAGATTAACCAGGTGAATCCTTGCAAAGCAAGAACAACTTGGGCACAAAGGAGAGCAATTGATACCAGGCAACCTGAACCCAAGCTTTTGTCCCACAGCTGCAAGGGAGCACCACAGAAGCTCAGCAGCTGGGAAATGGGCTGTTGTATAGGAGTAAAGGACAGTTAAAGGAGTTATTAAGCTTGAGGGATTTGGATATGTGGTTAGTTTTGTTACAGAGCTGAATAGCTGTACATCCAATTAGCAGCACTGCTGATGGCACACCTTCAAAATACGTGTTTAATTGCAGAGCTCTCCCTTTTTGCTTCATTGTCCGCTCCTTCATTTGATGTATTTCTCTGAATTGTCATATACCATGTTCTGGTTTAATTTGAGGTAAACTGACAGAATAGATAATTTTTACAGTATGTTTGTAGCAAAAATGATAAATTATAAATCATATACATGTTACAAGTGTGCTACATATAATTGTTATTGGTTGTTTTATTGTAACCATTTAGAAAAAGGTGTAAGTAAATCGCTACTACCAATTCATGGGGGGGGGGGGGGGGGG